ATGTAGTTATTGACAATGATGTCATCAATAAATGAATCCGTCCTGGACTCGATAACTTTGTCTAAGGATAATACCTTTTTTAAGTTTTTAGTCATTATTCTGGGCACCACATTTAAACCAAAACCGACAGTAATGCTGCCCTTCATATTCCACAACTTGATATTTCCATAATGTTTCGTCCACACGAATCTGCAGGTATGCTTTATTTAAATCGATTATCTAAAAATTTTCTCCCAACTTTCTCCAGTTGCAAAGTTTGGTACTACAAACATTGCCATCTGTAGTATGGCTGGATACAAATTGATTCAGCTTCTGGTAGTCCATCACCTGACGTACTTTTAATTTGTTTCATTGAATTACTGCCATCAACTGAATGATGCCATTACATCTTCCTTCAAATGGTTTCAGCCATCCCTGTGTTATCCATTCACTTATTTCCATAGTGTACTCTTAACGTCTTGAGAGATATGATAGTTTAGAATTTTGTTTGTTAAAGTTGGTGGTTCCATCAGCCATTTCCAAGACACGCTCCAACTGCCATTTTTGAATTCTGCTACAAAGATTTTATCAATCAGTTTTTGTATAGTAGGCGAGGATACTTCATTCGTTTTTTCTTGAGAGACTGCAGCAGCGTCGATAGTTGTTCCACATTGAAGTTTATGGTTTTGCCATCTCTCCCAACTTGGACACCTCAAGCAGTTGTATTGCGTCCATACCAAGTGGCATTTGATATTTTGGAACTATGTCGGCAACCAGGCATTCCAAATCTATGGTGGTATCATTTATAGAAAGATCAACAACAAACTAGTTTTTACTTTAATTGACTTTCCATTCATCATAACAACCTTTTCTCTTGCATGTGTTACATTTTTTACATTTACAATATCCTGACTTAAAATTGATTTGGAGCATCCAGTATCCAACACTGCTTTTATTTTTCTTCCATTGACATATATACAGAGAGTTAGTGGTTTTAAATTTTGTGGGAAGCCGCTCGCACAAAAAAGGTGGCTTTCCTCCCATGTTTTTTGAGTTCGTACACTTTTTATAGCAGTGCTGGCCAAGTGATTGTCTATTCCACACACAAAGCAACCCTTCGCATTTTCTTTGCTGCAGTTTTGACTGATATGTTAATCTTCGCCGCAACGGTAGCACAATATGGTCTTTTTTCCGCGTCCTTGAGGAACCTGTCTTGGACTAATGGCAATAGGATTCACGCAACTAGCAAAACATGATTCTTTGCAACATAAGATTACCAAACTTCTTAATTATTCAGCAATCTGGTACAGCAATATTGTTGATATTGAACATGCAGTTTGCTGCTGTTTTCTTGCTTTGTCAGGTAATCCAAGAATAAATGCGCACCTTATCCACTCTTCACTTACATGAGATGTGTAACACTTACATGAGATGGTAGTACCATGCTCAACTTGTTTCTCCGCACAGCGGAGAAACAAGTTGAGCACGGTACTACCAGAGATGTGGTGGGTCTCTGGTAGTACTGCGCTTGAACTCAGAACCTCTCGCTTATGAAGCGAGTGCTCTACCACTACACCACTACCGCATTATAAAATAAAAATGAACTTGAAAAAAAAAAACTTGTAATAATAAATCTATATTTGTTTTTTCTCGCTGTCTTTGTGAATATCATTTTCAAATACCCCTGAGGGTATAATAAACATAAACTTTATATACAATTGCAGTCACTTGATGATGACAGCGTTTTTAGCATAGTTTAGGATACAGTGTTAAGGACCTCAAAAATAATTATCTTTGTTTGGCCAATAAATATGTTGGGTAAACAAAAATGTATGAGTTTTTTTTGGCATTTATTATTTTATATTTGGGCATTTTCATTGTTTTGATTAATTAATAATTAAATTCTGACCTGCAAAAGTATATCATTATGATATGCTTTCGTGCAAACATGGCATATTACAAATATGATCAAATATAATATATTTTACTGCTCTAGTTTTCAACCTTGTAAAAGTATCTAAGAGATACTTTTACAAGGTTGAATGCTGAATTGAAATCTTCTTGCCCGTAGACTTTTTAAAAATCTATGTTAGTTGCATCCTGTGGAATAAATTGAAAAACTTATTGAGTCATGTGAAGACTTGGCATTACTGAGTTAGGGTAAAAAAAATTCATAGACTTAGCAAATATCTTCATTCTTTAAAAATATGAAATGAATGCCATATACTTTATCTTTAGAAAAATTAAATATTTTAGCATTCAAAATTTGGAGACAATTCTTTTAACTTTCCCACCAAAATATCTTAACATTCCATGTTATATTGTGAAGAAAGTGCATTTGGGTTTCATTTGAAAATCTTCAGTATGATGACACAATTTGAAAAATAACTTGCATTTTTTGTACTGTCTGGCCCAACTATCAAAACAATAGTAGATTTTTTTGTTCTTTGAAATCTTTGCATATTGTGAACTTTCATTAAATTTTTCTAGTGAAACATTCAATGTGTCAAAACTGGTCTTCAGAAGTTACATATGCAATTTCTATTTCTTGTGCAATTTCTATTTATCCAAAAGAAAAACAAGATGTGACTGTTTCAATTTGCTTTTCTTTTCTTGAAAAGTATTCACTTCTTTGTTAAACATTTATTTTTAAGTCATTAAAGTTAAATGTACTGCTGGAGCTCAAAAATAATCATCTTTGTTTGGCCAATAAATATGTTGGGTAAATAATACTTTAGTCTTTGCTTATTATTACTTATATTATATTAAAAATTGGTGTCACTCCTTTGATCAGATTTCTGATCAAAGGAGTGACATGAGTGACACCATCCTAATAAATCATTAACTTATTATTATATTAATATAAGTTATTATTATTATTTTTTCATTGTAATTATTGTAAACATACTTATTATTACTATTACTATAATTTGTATAATTATATTTTTTATCTTATGTTATTATTATATATTTTTGCTGTTATTACAATTATTGTTATTATTATTATCAAAACTATTGTAAAATGATTTACGGAAAATAAATAGCTTGTTGTTGTTGTTGTTGTTGTTGGAACAATTTGGACAAATTTTTTCTTCAAAAAGTTACATTTTTAAAATTAAAACAGAAAAGAGGTGAATATAAATATATTATTCTGCCAATGTGCATTCACATTTTATCTCTTAATATAAATATATAATTCTGCCAATGTGCATTCACAAGTTATCTCTTGTGAAAGCATGAATAAACAAAGAAAGGTTTAACTCACAATTTCACAAGCCCTACCTTTTTTTTACTGGTTAAAAACTAAAGCTTTCTTCAACTTTACTGGTCTTAAAAGAATTAACTTTAATTAGCTAAGGAAAATAGTAACTAGTCAAATATCTGAATAATAATTAATCATGCCTCAATAATAATAATTATGCCTGAATAATAATAATTAATTATGCCTGAATAATAATTAATTATGCCTAAATAATAATTAATTATGCCTAAATAATAATTAATTATACCTGAATAATTAATTCTACATGAATAATAATTCTATTAATAGTCTTTCATTTTAACTTTTTTTTCTTTGTTTTTAGTAAAAAACCATCTGACTAAAAATGTCAGATTACACTATTTGATTTGAATATGAGCTTCTTTAGGGAATAGGTGAAATGACCTTGGTTGATTATTACATCATATAAAATTTCTGATCATCAATCAAATAATTAAAAAAGAATAATGATTAAATGTTCAATATTTTCATTCAAAGCATTTTTTCACATGATTTCAATATGGTTTCACGAACAAAAAAAAAATCCAAATTGTAATTTTTGACCAAAGCACTTTTTAAAATATCCATATTACTAAAAAAAAGAAAAAAAAATTTGCATAAATTTAATGCTACCATGGTTAAATCCGGGATGCTGAGTCCCAAAAAGTTATCCTCTTATATATCTGTTTTTTCCTGGTTACTTGTATCCAGGAGCTCAAAAATTGTTGGTTGACTTAATAATCTGCAATAAAAATTTATAAGATTTAATGACTTGAAACATAATATTTTGAGCTTGGAATCCTGGAGTCCTGAAGTCCTTGCCGCCATTATACCTAAGGACTCTAGGTTTATAAATTGATTGTTCCTTTAATTTTCTTTCTAAAGTCTTAATTTTTTTTCTCAAAAGTAGTCCGTAATTTTCTTTACATTTTTGGAACTCCTGATCTCCAAAAAAATGGATTAAATAATCTTTTAGTGGTGTTTAAATCCGTAGTCTTTTTATGGACTCAGCATCCCTGATCGAAATTTTACCCTGATCGAAATTTTACTAGGTCATCTATGTCAGCATTTATAACTAGGTCATCTATGTCACATAGACTGTGTGATGAAGGTGACTAATTTGAATAAGTATAAAGAAAATCTAAAACAATGGATTACAAGTCTGTCCGACTTTTTATATTTTTACATTAGTATCAATATTTATACATTAGTATCAATAAATATATAAATGCATTTATTTTGTAGCATATTAGAAGTATCACAAAACAAATGCATTGTTGAATAAATTAAACTAACTTCAAATGTATATTTTTAAATATACATTTTTAAGTATGTTTTTTTAAATATGTATATACCAGCCCTTGAAAATAGGAAAAAAGGGGTCGGCAATAAATTGCTGACCTCAAACTGTTAGAGTTTGGCATCAGGTCAACAAAAAAAAATTTGACACAAAGTTACCATAAAACATAAAAATGAGGTCGACGATTTTTTGCCGACCTCAAGATTGGTAGTTAAGTTGGTATTACCGAATGCCAACCCTAATTCTGAGTGCTAATATATTAAATATAATAAATACAAATGTATTTGTGTATGTACATATTTGTATATGTGTACATGCTTACTTTTGATATGATAAAAAATAATAATATAAAAAATTATTTTTTGTTATTTTGCTATTTTTTATTTTATTTAGAGCAGTTAGTTTTGCTTGACCATAAATCTGTAAAGGGAACATGGGATGAAGGTAATGCAGAGAAAAAAATATTTTTTATTTTTTATTTTAATTTTACTATCGTAAGTATAGAGGTTGGAAGTGGGTGGTGGTTTTAATAGAGAAGTTAGTGGGTAGGTGGTCGTTTTCAGTGCTCAAAATGGAGAAAAAAAGTAATGGGATGGTATTCGGTAATTTAAAAATACCATCCCACCTAATCATTGTTATATAGAGATTAATAAAAAGGTGGCAGGATGGTTTATCTTTTATAAAAAGGTGGCGCAATGGCATCCCGCCACATCCCGCCTCACTTCGAGCACTGGTCATTTTCATAAGAGAGGCTATTCTCTTTTTTTGGATTTTTCTTTATAAACTTTTTTCTTGCAAAAAATAAAAAGATTTTAAAAGGCAAGGTTTGTTCGTGGAAAGCAAGTTGAATAAAGTACTACCTGTAATATTACAGTAATAATTGTATATATATAAAAAATTATTATTATAATTATTATAAAATTATAAATCTTAGGAACATCAAAATAATATTAATATTATAATTTTAATTACAAAAATAATGTGCATTAATAAAAAAAAAAAGAAAAATTTATTTAAATGTTTGTTTTTATAATAAAATGATTTTTTATAATTAAGATGAATGACAAGTATTTACTTTAATGATTAATTTGAGATGTATGAGATGTTTTAATTGAAACATTTTTACTAATGTTTGAGATGTATGAGATGTTTTAATTGAAACATTTTTACTAATGTTTGAGATGTATGAGATGTTTTAATTGAAACATTTTTACTAATGTTTGAGATGTATGAGATGTTTTAATTGAAACATTTTTACTAATGTTTGAGATGTATGAGATGTTTTAATTGAAACATTTTTACTAATGTTTGAGATGTATGAGATGTTTTAATTGAAACATTTTTACTAATGTTTGAGATGTATGAGATGTTTTAATTGAAACATTTTTACTAATGTTTGAGATGTATGAGATGTTTTAATTGAAACATTTTTACTAATGTTTGAGATGTATGAGATGTTTTAATTGAAACATTTTTACTAATGTTTGAGATGTATGAGATGTTTTAATTGAAACATTTTTACTAATGTTTGAGATGTATGAGATGTTTTAATTGAAACATTTTTACTAATGTTTGAGATGTATGAGATGTTTTAATTGAAACATTTTTACTAATGTTTGAGATGTATGAGATGTTTTAATTGAAACATTTTTACTAATGTTTGAGATGTATGAGATGTTTTAATTGAAACATTTTTACTAATGTTTGAGATGTATGAGATGTTTTAATTGAAACATTTTTACTAATGTTTGAGATGTATGAGATGTTTTAATTGAAACATTTTTACTAATGTTTGAGATGTATGAGATGTTTTAATTGAAACATTTTTACTAATGTTTGAGATGTATGAGATGTTTTAATTGAAACATTTTTACTAATGTTTGAGATGTATGAGATGTTTTAATTGAAACATTTTTACTAATGTTTGACATTTCAGGTTGAGTTCTAACTAGTGTTGTTATGTTTATTAAATAATTTGACTGTTGACTAAATCGGCTAATAAATTTTCAGTTGAACAGTTATTAAAAACTTTCATAACTGTTCTGTTAGGCATACTATTACTTGTTTAGAGTTTTCTTTGTATAACACTGTAGTGTTTCTTATTTTTAATTGTTTTAATAAGAATCTTCAAATTTAAAGATTGTTAAATTTAAAAAAGAAACGTTTTTTTTAAATATGTTTTTTCTACAAATGTCATCAACTTAATTATGCTAAGATTACACTTATTAAAAAGTATAACTTTTAAATAAATATAATTAATAAATTTCAAATAGACTTTAGGTATTAGCAGGTTTCCTATATGTCCTGATTTTACTTACGAGAGTGAAGCGCTAAAATGATTAAATTTAAAACTTTTATTGCGCTCTCCTACATAAAATCAGGATATATGAGGACTCTGCATTAGAAGTATAAAGTTGAAGCCATCATTAAAAATATGTTAGCTTTTGCTGATAAAAAAAAACAACGTTCACCAAAATTACCCCCCGTAATCAACAAAATGTTTTAAACTTTTTTTTTTCATAATATTTCTAATAGTTCGCAGTTAATTTAGCTAGAAGAATAGTAGCTTGAATGAATTGCATCCTCGCAAACATTTTACTAAAAGATCACAAACAAACTTTTCAATATTTCATTTGTAGATTGCTAGTTCCTTTAAAAATTGAGCGAGGGCATGATAGTAAAATTAAATTGAAAAATTTATAATCATTTAAAAAAAATTAGATATGCATCAATGGAAAATTACCACTGATGTTATAAGTTGGTTTCTGAAATTATTAATAAAAGAGTGCACATTTATTTAATTTGATATTATTTATTTTTACATCTTTATTACAGCAGAAAATTTATATAAAACATGAATAAAGAAAAAAACTATATAGAAATACAAAGGACATTATTCATTTGATTAAAAAAAGCTTTACTCTATTTTGATAAGGAGGCGTGAAATAAAAATAACACACAT